CCGTTGAACCGTCGTGGACCATTTTCCTCGCTTTCATCCCTCTCGAAGGTCCAAGTGCGGTCGCCGTGACCCGCGAAATCCGGTGTACACCCTCGACACCCTCCTCCTCCCCGGTATCCGCCTTTAATTTTCGTAGATGCAGCGAGGCGCGAGAGTTGTGCGTCCCGCGATGATTATTCGGAGTGATCGGGGTGGCGAGTCGAGTCCCCCGCGCAGGGGGAGACGAACTCGAGCGTAAGAGATTGCTCTGCTTTCCTATCTTCGACCCGAACTTGTCCTCGAGTTTTCCCTTTGTCCGCCCCCTTTGGCCCCCAACGGACCCTTTAGCGCCCTCGTGTGTCAGTCAGTCAATCAACGTAGGAATCTAGCGGTTCCTACGCTCCCCCCTCCCCTTCGAAAGCCCTTAGCGCCGCCGATATTAAAACATCCTCCCCCTTTCCACCTATCCTCTCTCCCAGAAGAAATGAAGCCTCCTCGCGAAATCCACTATTCTTCGCGTGGATAGTTTCGAGGAGTATGAAACAGAAGAAAAATTAATCGAATAAAATTGTAATTCGCGATTCCACGATTGATTCTTGATGTTACGAAGAATAAGAAAAATAAGCCGATAAATTGTCGAAGGAACGTGATATTGTTCCAAGTTACTCGCTGTTAAACGCAGGTTTATTTATGTAGGCGCGGGATAAAACGAAGGAGACATTCTCGTTCGGATCGGGCAACCGACCGTCTCTAATTTTTGGGGTGGAGGAAAGGGGTGGATGGCATTGAGACAGGTCAGTCCGCTGTGAAAATCGGATATATGTATTTATCCACTGTTCACCCTATCTTTCTTTCTCTCTCTCTCTCTCTCCCCAGGGGGAACAGGAAATCCAGTTATGAATACGGGATCGTTGCGTTGTTTTTAGCGGCTTGCCGGCGAATCACGCTCGACGATCTCTCTCTCTCTCTCTCTCTCTCTCTCTCTCTCTCTCTCTCTCTCTCTCTCTCTCCCTCCCTCGGTCGGCGGTTACTCGGCCGCGAAATCGATTAGTTACGCGGAACAATAAACGGACGATAAATTAGGTTTCCGAACAATCGGAGATGTAAACGTTTTGTTGTGTACCGACGGACGTTGTTGTTGCATCGGGTGGAGGAGGAGGGGAAGGATGATTTGGAATTTCAACACGCAGTTGGATCACACGCGCGAGGAATCGTATAAAAGGAAGGAATTATTCTTCGGGATGGTTAATTCAGAAATGTTTCTCGTCCCAGCTTTTCGAAAGCTTTTTAATCGGAGGGGGCACGTTTCCCGATAATATTCGTCGCGGTTCCAATAAACCGCAATCAAGTTTGTTACCCACCTTTATTTCGTGTTTGGAACTTTGTTTCGGTCACGTTTGCACGGCGGTAGAACCTGCAAGGTTCCTGCAAACGCGGTTGCGAGACCAGACGACCGTTTACGTTATGCCAACTCCTCCCGCTTTCTCTCTCTCTCTCTCTCTCTCTCTTTCAATCTCCTTTTCTCTCCGCTTCATCCCTCTCCTTCCATCTATGTCCATCCTCCTCTCGCCACAGGTTGTTCGGGAAAATATTAGCCGCGGGCTTCGTAGCGTTAAAGGGGAACGGTTAAATTAATAATTCGCAAATTGGCAAGAGAAATGCCGCTCGTACCTCAGCACAACCCCTCTCCACTTCTCCCCCTCTCGTTGCTCCTTTTCGGGTGCAGTTTGCGGTGTTTCGACTAGGGTGGCACCAACGACACGGGTCACTCTCTCTCTCTCTCTTCGAGACGTCTGTTTTCGACAAGCGACCGTCGATTAAACGGGTAATTAGCATCGCAGGGGAATCACGGAGGAAGGAAGACGATCGCATCTCTCGAGAAAACGTTGGAGCATCGACTTCATTAGCCTTTTCTCGATCTTTTCTCGAACTTGTTCGCCAGAATTTTTCTCTCGTCTCGCCCAGGAGATTAATTATGCTCGACTGTTGTTCGCCTCGTTATTACGGTCGGGGACGCGCGATTTCTCTTTTGTCGGGGAGAGGGGCCCGATTATCGGGCCGTCGCCTCGAACACCTGTAATCAACCGACTTTTCCCTTTTCTCTTTCCCTTCCTTTCTCGAACGCGCGCCGACCGATTTTTAATTTTCTGCCACGCGGAGCACGCGGGGGAGGGGAACGTTTCGCGAAACGAGCGACAGAGGGAGAAGAGAGTTTCGCCGATTTCGTCTAATAACACTGATCTCGAATCCGCTCGCCAAGGTGGTCGTTTCCTTTCCTTTCCTTTCCAACGCCTTCGTGCGTGTATCGCGCGAGACCGTCGCGGCAGGATAATAATTCGATCGGTAACCGTAATTACGGGGCCCCGTTCCCAGACACCCAGGCACGAGCCCCTCGTTTCCCCTCGCCTCTCCGTGACCAAACTTATCATTGCCAATGCAAACAACGTCATTATCGTCCTCCTTCGAACCCGCAACTTTCAACGATTTTATTCCGATACAGGTTCCCTCGTGGGATACGAGCAGGAAGAAATATCGATCGATATTTAGGTGTACGCCTTTCGCTCTCGATCCGATCGCCGCCTGAAACATTCCCCGGAAGAACATCGTTCCGCCGTCCTTCCCGCGAAAATCGTTTTAAAATCGTGACAAGATCGAGAGACGATAATTAATCGGTCCCCTCGTTAATAATGTCGAAGCGTGACACCCCCTCTCCAAAAGAAGAATCCCCTTCGATTTCATTGAAGATGCAGGCGTTAAAGATGCCGTAAACTCGCCAACGCGGATCCATTAATCCTCGAAAGGTTGCACCGTGCAAGAAAGGGGGGAGAGAATAAATGATCGGGAAAAATGCGAGAAGATGGGCGCGCGCCTCGACCGTTACGCGGCCCTCCTATCATCCATTCTTCGGTAAGCCGGGAGAGGATGAGAGACTTTCTAACCGATTCGATATCCGTCGCGTCGTAGCTGCGTGAATCGGTTGACGTTGGAATACACGCTGAAGGTACATCGCTCTCGCCGCGTGTAGGCTAGATAGGTGTGTGTGTGTGTGTGTGTGTGTGTGTGTGTGTGTGTGTGGGGTAGCCTCGTTTTATTTCTGGGAGCGTGGACGATCCCAGTGCACGGGAAATTGAAGGATGAAGATAAACGAGAATTCTGACGCAACGGGCGACTATGCTATCGATACGCGCGCGTGTCGGGACGATGATGAGTGCGGAGAAGAACGGAAAGGAGAATAATCGGCCGCGTAATTCTTATTTAGAACCAGTAACCAGACGCTTCCGTTGACGCTCCTGCCGGTGTCGCCGCCGTGTCGCCATTTTCACCATTCCTCCCCTTCCCTACCCGCTCGATCGCGCCGATGCATTTCCTCGCGTGGAAGGCGAATTATTATCCGAGGCCATTTTGAATATAAATTATTGGTGGAAAATCGGCGCGGGGATCGCGGATCGTCTCCTGCCCGACAACCTTTCTCTTTAATTACGTGCAGTAACGGTAGACGCGATCGGTAGGTCGATTTTGGAGCCAATATTCAAACCAGTTCATCATCTCACCGTACTTTTTCGCCGATTTCGAGAGACTTACTCGAAATTTTCAAAAGGTTTCCTCGACGATGTTCGGTCGAGTCGTTGGTAATTTTCGGAGAACTCTTCGGAGATGGAGAGATAGCCGGGAGAGGAGGGGGGATCGTGGATCGAGACACGAGGCTTTAACGAGGCGTGTAACGAGAGAGTGGAACACGGGCCTCGCAACCCTTTCTTTGTCGGCGCAGCGAGGTAAAGGGAAGGTTGCGATTTCGGAGAGCTCCGGGCGGGTTTTCAACATGTTAATTGTATATTTGAGGTGAGGTGATAAACAAGGCTGTGGCTCGGCTCGGTAGCTCGGCTGCCGAGCTCTAGAGTCTTCATTACAGCCGGTAATATATAACCGCGGGCCCCGAGGGGGCATGCTCCTCCATGCTCCTCGAACGAGTTACCGAGCTTCGATATACCCGGTGACCCGGCAACGCGCTCTCGTCCGACGCCCTCTCTCTCTCTCTCTCGCTCTCTCTCTCTCTCTCTCTCTGTCAGCGAAAATTTCGAAATTTCAGGTCAAAAGGTTTGAAATTGTTCGCGAAATCGCCATCATCCCTCCGTCTAATCTACCCCGTCAGCCGTATTTCCTTCCTCATTAATTCCGTTCTTATCGAGACTCGAGGCCATTCTTTTCCCCTCGTTCTTCTATCGAGAGACTCCTCTCCCTTCGAATCTCAATTCGAATTTTAATTCGCGATATTAGGGGGAGAGGGAGGGAGGGTAAAAGCTCGTAATTAACCTCGCGGTGGTTATGTGGATGGAAGAGGAAGCCGGTAGGTAGGGCGCAAACTCGTCGAAAGGTGGATTGCCGCGAAGTTCGTCGAATCGGGTAATCGCGATCTCGCGTCTACCGGTGCCACTTGCCTCGCGGCGGATATTTTCTGGATAAGGGCTCGAGCGAGTGAGGGGAGAGAAAAAAAGGTGAAAAAGACGAGAGAAACGGCGCGCGCGATCTCGATCGCATCGTGAAAGCGGCTCTCTCGCGACGCTTGCACGCACACAGGCGCGATCGATTGGCCTTCGGGTGGAAGAGGTGCGAACCGGTTCCTCCTCGGGCGCGACTCGATTTTTCGACGTGGAATTCGGAGAGGCCGAGGCCACGTTTCCACAACCCTCTCCACACGCTCGTCGCGGGGAACCGTGAACGACCGCTTTCCTCGTCCTCCCGACAGGATAAAAAGAGGGAAGGAAGCGGCGCGAAACAGAGGTAGACGGGGAGGCACGCCCCCTCGGTCGCGTCAGATTTTATTTATCGCGCCGTGGCTTTTTGTTCCACGGTAAACACCCCGGGCATTTAGGAGTAAGACGTTGCCCGATTTATGGTCCCCTCGGCTCCCTCTTCCTCCGCCTTTGCTTTCGAGCGCTTTGCTTTCCCTCCCCTCTTCCTCCCTTCGTTTCTCGATCCTTTCCGCGACACGGATCCTCACCGGAACGTCTCTCTTCTTCCAGATAAACATGGAGGCCGTCACGTCCACCGACTACGACTCGTCGAATCTGAGCAGAAATTTCAACCAGGTGGGGTTCAACACGTACAACTACTCCCAGTTCGAGGAGAAGTACAAGCCGCGGCAAGCGTTCAAGTACGGGGACGAGTATCTGGAGTACGGACGGAACTCGGTCAGGTTGGGGCCGAACGAGAGGTTGGCGAGATTATCGTCCGCGAGGCATCAAGAGGTTGCCGGGAGGATCGATCAGAGGTACGCGAGGAGTCACTCGCAGCCCGAGCGACAACACCATTCGACCCACGAGACGCGGTCCAAGTCCCAAGATTCCCGCGAATTGACCTTCTATCAGATCGATCCGCCAGTTCCCAGACCGGAGAACGTCCACTCGAAGACGCATCGCGGTGTCGCGGTGGAGAAGGGTCAGGGCAAAAAGGAGTTGACCTTCTACGAGATCGATGGGCCCGCGTCGCAAGAAAAGGCGGCGAAAGACGGCAAGTCGGAGGGAGGAGGAGGAGGAGGAGGGAAGGACAAAAGCGAGAAAGGGACGCAGAGGGACAAGGCGCACGCCGGTGGCGGCCAGGAGAAGGCGCCGTGCCCTTCGAAACACCCGAAACAGGAGCAGAAAGCGATCGCGCCACCCAATTACCAGCTAAACAGGTCCCAGTCCGATCTGACCGATTCTCAACTGCCCAATTATTACAGGCATCGGAACAATCCTTACATAGATCCGCCCAAGTACAGGCAATTCGACAGGCCGCCGAGGTATCAGGAGACGCCACCCAGATCCTCCGAGCCTCCGCCAAAGTACTCGGAAGTGGCTAGACGTGGTCAGGACGACTACAAACGCGTCCAGGTGAGCAAAAAATTCCCCGATCCCCCCCTCTTCATCCTCCCTCGTCTCCACGACAGCGCGAACTCGCCGCGCGAGTTTCGGCGAGATTGGCGGTTACGCGTAACGTTATCAATTCGACAGGAGGAGAGGGGCAAACGGCAAGGTGGAGGAGGAGGAGGAGGGAGCATGGTAGTAGGCATCGGTAGCGGTGGTGGCAACGGCGGCAGCGGCGGCGGCGGTGGTGGTAGTAACTCCAGCAGGGGAACTCATGGCGCCGAGACGCCCTCTAATCTGGCCAGTATCACGCCAACCGCGCGAGAAGCAACACGCGCTCCTTCGTCGCGGTCGCGGCTCCCTTGCAAGTCGTGCGACACGCGTTGCCCCAACAACAACAACAACAACAACACCACCACCACTACCACTACCACCACAATCACTACCACCAACAACATTAACAACAACAACAACAACAACAACAACAGCAGCGGCGGCGGCAACTCGAACAAAGAGGAGGCGTATCAGGATGCGAGCGAAGACGGCGAGGTGATATCCGGCGGTTTCAGGTGTCACGGGGATTTTTCGAAAGCGACGTCGTTCCATCATCACCACCACCACCACCACCACCACCATCATCATCAGAATCGGTGTTCGGGTGTCGGAGGCGGTAGCGGTTGCGGTGGCGGCTCGGTTCCCGGTAATGCCTGCCAAAGTGGTTCCGGTGTGCCGTGCGACCCGTCGACGTGCGACAGGTACAAGGGTGCCGTGGATTGTTTGCTGAAGGCCAGCGAGGCGGTGCAAGGTCGTCTGTGCGACAGGTCGATGTTGAAGATCGAGAAAGGTTCGAGCAAGGCGGTCGTCCACGGTATCGAGGGGGTGGTGGTGGTGGGGAAGTGCGGCGGGGATAGGATGAAATCGGGGCAGGAGCTCGGAGGTTACGGGAAGCACGGGGAGCAAGTGGGCGGCAAGTCGAAGGGCCACGATGTCGGTCACGGGTTCAAGGTGGAGAACATGAAATATTACGGCGAGTTGAAGGGCTACGACTTGAAGTCTTACGGGACCATCGACAAGCCGGGTGCCGTTGTCTCTGCCCACGAGAAGTCCCATTTGCACGGGGGGGAGAAGAACGGTCACGACAAGTGTCACTCCAAAGTGTCCTGCTCCTCCTCCTCCCCCTGCTCGTCCGCGATGCAGAGTTACGGCCTGTCCAAGGTCGGCGGCGGTGAACGTCCAGCCGAGAAGAGCGTGTACGCCGATCACTATTATCACCGATCGTCGCACTCGAAGCCGCAAACCGCGTATCAAGTGTACCAGGAGACCAAGTACTCGTACAACGTGAGCGGGGTACCGGGGACGCCGGCGCAGGCGAGCGCAGCCGCAGCTTTCTTCGCAAGGTCAGTTACTCAATCTCCTATACTAGTATTACTACTACTACTACTACTACTACTGCTACTACCACTACTACTCGCGATCACGCGCCTCTCCACCTGTTTCCGCCAAAGATTTACGACTCTGCCTTTCATTCTTCCCCGCTCATTGTTCCTTCTGCCTATCTGTAATTGTCCACTGTCCTGCCTACCGTTTGTTTACCGTTTCCCCCTTCCCAACGAAACGGATCGCTTATCCTTTCTTTCCCGACTTTTCTCCCTTTTCTTTCCCTCACACTCGAAATTATACTGTTCCTATTTCCTCTTTCCCTCCCTTCTCTCCGTTCCACTTCTCGAGCCGTTTCAACTTCGCATCGTTGCCCACAGTTTCAACAGAGAGATCGCTATTCGTTGTATTTTTTGAATTCGTTCTTAATAGGTCGTGACGAAGGAATTGCCACCAAAAGTTCGAGGAGAACAAAGCGAGAACGAACAGCGAGATGTAAAGAACAGTAGGGAGTAGTAGGAAGGGAGATGGGGGGAGGTTTCAATTTTCCCTGTTCTCACGCGCGAGAATCAAAAAGAGAGAGAGAGAGAGAGAGAGAGAGAGAGAGAGAGGGTTGCGGTCTCGCGAACAATCGCGGATCCACGGAAGGAACAATCGGAAAGGTGGTGGTTGGCGAGGAGGGTTGCGCACGGTTTTCTTAAGACCGTCTGGAGCTTTGATCTTCGGGGCCAGAGGTTTTCGACAAGCGATTCTGGAATGAAAAGCGTGCGGCCGGGGCTCGCGTGAGAGCGTTCGGTCGTGCATAAATCGCGTGCGGTTCGCGAGCAGGGAGGGGAGGAGGGAGGGGAATAAAGCTCCTTCCGGGGATATTCGTGTTCTCCCTTTAACCCTAGCCCCTCGCGCGACCCCTCGACCCGTTTAATAAACCTCTCCGCCTAGATGTTGCTCGCCACATAGGTCCATCCGTTCCTCCTAGCTTTCGCGGCTCTACGATCGCGTACGGGTTCTCTCCACGAAGCACGAGTTATTAGTCGAAAGTAATTACGAGCGGCGCGGTTAATAAACGATCTATCTACTACGGGATCGAGACTTTCGAGCGATCGCCTCCATTAACGGAAATACGTGTATAGCGGTGGAGAGAGATCGACCGGATTTTATTTAACTCCGCTCGATTTTATTTGAGATAGAAAGAAGAAAAAAAAAAAAAGAAAAGAAAGGAATGCGGACGACGGCGCGTTGGCGCGTTAACCGAGGACGGGTGATAAAGCGGAGCGCGATTTCGAAGGAAATCGGCGGATACGGGAGCGGTAAAAGTTTTCTGGAATGCGTTCCCCGGGGAGTGGCGGGAATCGAGTGGCGATCCTCGCTCGAATCGAATCGAGTCGTATATCGTTAATGGATATATGCGGCGTCGGCGCAACACGGTTGGTCCTCGAGCGGTGATCGTGACCCGGCTGCGAGAACGATTCCGATCGACTCGTCGTCTCGCGGGGGGAGAAGCGGCGCCCTCGTGTCGTTCCTCCTTCCTCGTCCATTGTCGGCCATTCCTCGTCCCGGGATTCTTTGGAATCGGTGTGCGTTTACCGTCTCGTAGGAAGTCGTCGCCGAGGGGCGACGAGAATTGAAATTAATCGCGCCTCCGCCTCCTCCTCCTCCCCTCTTCGCGCGATGACCGCCGAGGCGGATCGTCGATCGGAGAACGGAGCCGAAAATTTATTTCACGGGGCCCCGACCCGCCAAACTCGCCTCGTTTCGAGCCAACGAATTATTTCCTGGTTGGCCAAGTATTCTCGTCGCGGACTTAAACCGCAACCACCTCTCGAAATCGCCGGGATACGAGGTGCCGTCCCGTTAACTTTCGAGCTTCATGAATATTCTCGGCCAAACGATCATCGAGAGGGACCGTGTATATGCGTGCTTTCTTCGCCGTTTTCTTCTCTCTCTTTCTCTCTCTCTCCCCTTTTTCTCCCTCCCGTATCGTGTCCACGCGTCAATTTCCTCGACAGGTTCGCTCTGGGACCAAAGTTGGAATTTCCAAAGTTGGATGGTCCAAGCATCTGACGCGATAAACCGGGACAAAATTGGCCAAGGGGTCACGAAGAAGAGGTGTGGACACCGTTTTATTGGCCATCTTTATATCGACTCTCTACCGTTTCCCTCCCCTCTTATTTCCTCCCTCTATTCGAAGAGACGTCGACGATTCCGCCTCCACGATTTTTCGAACTTTTCGAAACACGCTTGTCGAAACGACAATTCGAAACGAATCGCGAGTTCTGGTATAAAAGATACGCGACGACGCGCGCTCGAGATTTAACTATCACGTCCCGTTGGGCGCGTAATATCGGCGGTGAGAGTTGGACAGGATGGAGGAGAGGAGGAAGGAGAATCGGGGGAGGAAAAAAGGAGGGAAACATCCGGAGTCCCGGCTGAATGACACGCGCTCCGTCTTATACATATTTATGGCCCGCGACGACGTTCGTTTCGTAGAACGGAGGTTGGCCTCGTGCGCGAGATCGTATCGGCGATAGGAGAGCGGTCCTTAATTGGACAGGTGACATTTCCTCTTCAGTTTTCTCGCGTAATACCTCTAACACACCGACCCTTTGTTGGCTCCGAAAGGCTCGTTCCTTCTCACGGAAATTCTGTTCCCCGTCTACGTTTCGCGAAACAACGACTTACATCGTCGCCCTTCGATCGAAACGGATCTCCCCTGCCCTCGATCTTGCCGTCGAATCGTCGATGCAACGATGGCACGGCGAGGAATATCTCGTATCTCAAGATTCACTCGTCTCGAAAGAAAAGGGACGAATGAAAGAGGAGCGCGAGAGAATGACCTCGAAGGCTGGAGGACCGGCCGAATATATCCTCTGGGTCACCGTGGGTTTCAACTCTTCGTTCAACAGGTAGCGCTCTCGTAGTCCGGGTTTGCCGGCGACCCGGCCCTCTCCATTATATTCATATCATGTAAATGCGCCCTACCGGCGCTCCGCCGACTGCCTCCCATTTTCCACCCTAGCGCCAGGCCAGACGAACAGAGAGGAAACGAGAGAGAGAGAGAGAGAGAGAGGATATTATCTGTGGAAAGGGGAGAGAAAGAGGGAGGGGGGAAAAGAAGGAGAAGGAGAGGTAGATCGAGATGGCTCTACTTTGCATTTATTCTAATGGGATAATACTCGGTGTCTTGCCACCTCGTTTGCTATAATAATTCCGCTCCGTGATACTTTCGATCATTCCAACTCGGGGTCGTCCAACAGGAAACGAATAATTGGAAGGAGAATTGTAATAATTTCCCTTTTTTTTTTTTCTTCTTTCTTTCTCCCTTCCACTCGATGTGCATACCTGCGCATAGGTGCATACACACGCGCAGCCCCTAGGCGGCCAGTGTCATCGCGTGGGCGACACGCACGTAAGCCTGTCCATCTTTCCCTTTATAACGCCAGCCCGTGTTAACGCATCGACTATTAACTTAAGCGACGACCGTATGTCACTGTAATACCCCTACACGGGCCCAAAGCCCATAAAGGATCACCGAAATCACGCTAAAAGGTTCCCAAGAATTAATCTTCCATTTTAAAACGTCCGTTACACTCCTCTCTCTCGTTTCCTTCGGAGGAGCCTTGATCCCCCTTCCCCCCCTCCCCTCTCTCCAAGGGAGAAGATTCGATCGTATTCTCGAAATTCTCGATGGTGGTATCCCGTGGCGTCCCTCCGTTTCAATCGATTGTAACTAATGTGTCCCAGGAATCGTGTTCACGGTTAATTTTTGGATGTTACGTTTCGTATGAAACGAAAGAGAGGGGGAGGGGAGGGGGTCCTCCATGCCTTCGCCTCCCGTCCCAATTGAGACCTCGATTTCGCCAATTAGAAGAGAAATGCTCGCATTACTTGGATCGACGGGGCCGGGCGGGGATCTTGACGAGTTTCACGAGCGGATTATTAAAAGCCGATAGCTCTCGGTCGAGCTGCACGCACGAAAGGTGTTCGAGACGTTGGATGGCGAGGCGAGGCGAGGGGAGGGGATTCAAAGAGAAAAGCAAGGCGTGGAGGGGCGGCGAAGTTTGTAATTATCTTGCCGGACGTGGTCGCGGTTGTACGTGCGAGCCGATGCGATCGAGCAATTATGTCACAGTTCGGTATCGATATTACTTTTCAATTTGATCCCGATGCATCGACGATTCCGTGCTGCTCTCTTTCGCGCTTTTTCCCCTCCTTTTTGCGCCAATGACGAACCTCCCGCTCGTCATTTTCTCCTCCTCGTTCGCGACGCCAATTAACGGGAAGGGACGTGACGCACCGTGGACACCTATGATTAGCCGGTTAAGCCGGCGCGATGCGGATATTGAAATCGCACGTTGGTGTAATTGCGTAAAAAGAAGAGGGAAGCGGGAAGAGAGATCGAGCGAACTTGGCCTAAATTATCGCTCCTACTCAATTTATTATTTATGGAATTTATTAACGGCAAACGGGATTCGTTCTATTTTGTGCGCTGAAACGATCGTTTAGAATTCTACTCCCTCGTGACCTCGTCTTTCATTTTCTCAACGCTAAGATGAACAATTTTTATAACTATCCATACTTTCAGAAATTTCGTTTCCCTTTTTTTAAAAAATTTCGTACTTCGTAATTATCCATCGACTTGTAATCGTGTTTCATTTTTTTTTTAACTAAATTTTCGAAATTCATCAATTGATTCGTTCTATTTTGTGCCCTGGAACGATCGTTTAGGATCTTACTCCTTCGTGGCCTCGACGAATTACTCTTTCATTTCCCTAACACTATTATGAACAATTTTTATAATTATCCATACCGTACTTTCAGAAATTTCATTTTCTTTTTTAAAAAATTTCGTGCTTCGTAATTATCCATCGACTTGTAATCGTGTTTCATTTTTTTTTAATTAAATTTTCGAAATTCATCAATTGATTCGTTCTACCTTGTGCCCTGGAACGATCGTTTAGGATCTTATTCTCTTGTGACCTCGTCTTTCATTTCCCCAACGCTAAGATGAACAATTTTTATA